TTTTAAAAATTTCTAATGTAACGTCGTATAAAGTGGAAATTATGAAAACTCGGTCGTACTGTTAAATTCCTACAAAGGAATGCAATTGCGCAATTGCAAAGCATCAGTTTGTAATAGCAAAGTAAATACTTCGTAGTTACAAAGGATCTATGTATCTCACAGTTCTGTAAAGCATTCCTTTGTAGGAATTTAACTGTGCATAGTTTTCAGCTAGGGTGAAACTACATGAAGCCTATAGTACACCAACAGGATAACTGGACAGGAATCGGGATATTGATTGAAGCGACTCATTAGAGAGCAACAGGAGGAGCAGTTCGCGTTTATAACGTGGCCTGCATAGAAATATCTTACATTTTGGGATCCGGGCCAAGAAAAGTCACCAGAAATGATTGGCCGATACACCTTTGCGCGCTGGCTCCTTGGGATCCGCCAGAAACAATAACAACCCGGCATCCATTTTCAGCAGAACCGGGCCTTTTCTTAATTTCCGTAAATTGGCGGGAGAAACCCTTCAGTGTCCCCTTTCTCTCCTGTTGCCGGAGCTCCGCTAGCGGCAGCAGCAGCCAGTGTGGAGGGGGAGCAAGGGGCATTAAATCGCTTTCAATCAGCCCGCCTCTCGATTCCATGATGAAAATGTCGCCCCTTTCCAACCTCGCCTCCCCCCGCGCGCCGGACAAGCAATCTCCCGGAGGAAGAAGACCAAACTCGCTCTGATAAAACGCACACATCTTTTCGCTCGCTCCCGGTGGGGGGCGAGTCGGCCCGGCGGGTGGGGCGCTCGGCCACGCCGCCGCCCTCACTCGGCGCGCGTTCGAAGACAAGGCGTAATTGTTTACACGACCAAAGATTCGGTGGTCCAGATTAGGTGTAACCCTGGCGCTCTAGCGGGACATGGCGAGGGGAGTAGCGGGTGGGGAAGAATGCCGGGATGAAGATGGAGTGGATATGTCGCGGAGCGGGCAGGGAAGTCCGGACTTGTTCCGTTTGACTTCCTCTCTCTCCCTCTCCCTCCCTCTCTCTCTCCCTCTCTCTCGTTACCCCGGAGACGGGATGTGCTTCCCGAGAGCGTGTCAATAGAAGCGCGTTTGAGCTTTAGAGGCGGCAGCAACGGCGCGGAGGGGGGAGTGGTGCTGCGTGGAGGTATATGGTCCGCGCAGCCCCCCTCCACTTCCCCGCTGCATGACGGCGCGCCAACTTTCGACTCTGACGAATTTTATCATTTTAATATAACGTTTAATAATATGCCCAACAAAAGCCTCCCGCGTAAGCCAGGCGGGCCTAGAGCGCCCCGGAGCTGCCGGAGCCTGGAGTGGGTGAGGGGCGACTGTATTAAATTTGTCCTGCTGTAACACGCCTAGTCGAGCCCCTGGCCTATGTTCAACATGCCAGGGCGTGTAAGCAACATAATCATAATTTACGTTGATCCTCATTGTTGTTGGCTGAGAGGTCCGTAAAACAAAACAATTCGACCCCATACTTTCCTTAGATGATGCCCGTTTTTCTCTTATATGCATCTGGCAAACTACGGTAGCTCGGCGCCTGCGAGACTCAGGTTAGGCCAACCCGCAGTGCACACATGTGCTTCAGAAAAATTATTGCCTACCTACCAGGCGCTATGGGAGCTTCCTTATTTTTTCTTGCGCTGAACTCGACTTGCTCCTAACGACAAATAACGGTCGGACTTTCAAGATAAGACCTTGCCTGGCAATGGCACAACGTGACACGATAACGGCCATATAAAAAAATCGTCACTGCCCATCCACTTTCGTTCCAATAATTTCATCCCGAATGGGTCATTTCCTGTTGTCCCCGCTGCCTGCTCGCCAACACTCGCAGAAGTGATGAACAGGGCGCCTCGTGGAGGACAGGGCAGACAGGGGGCAAGGGGCGGCGACCCTTTAGCGCTCCGGCAGGTCACATCGAGGAACATTATGGAGAAGAGGAATCTGGGGGGAAATTAATGAAAATGTAATGAGCTAAGGAGCTGGGCACGGCGTAGGGCGGCGCGGCCCGGCGATGTCCCGGAGATTGGAGATGAGGCTCTCTGGCGCCTTAATGAGGCAGGTACACTCCATTGCTCGCCTTTGCCTTTCGGCCCCAAAGAATTGAGACATCAGGGGCGAGGAGGGCGGCAGGACCACCGGCCTTGGGGCGGGCCGCTTGGGACGCCTGGGGCAGGGCGCCTATGCGGTGGGGCGCCTGGGGCGCGCCGCCTGGGGTAGGGCGTTCGGAGCGGGGTGCCTGGCCCCGGGTGGGGTGCCTCGGGTGGGGTGTTCGGGGCGGGGCCGCGCAGAAGCTAATCGGATTGAATACATTGAATTAGCGTCGCTCGCCGCATTGAATTGCAAAGTGGGCGTGTGTGATAGGATGATCCATGTTCCCCGTCTGGGACGGAGGAAAAAGAGTGCGAAAGAAAATAGCAGCGGGCGAGGCGCTGTCTCCGGTCTGTCTCGGGGCGCGCCAGCCAACCAGCGCCAAGCGCCCCTCAACCCAGCTAACCTTCCCTCCTTACTGTTGCAGGCACGGTGTCCATGCCCTTCTACACGGTGTACGTGCTCATGGGCTACTGGGACCTCGGCCCCATCTTGTGTGACCTCTGGCTCTCCGTGGACTACACCGTGTGCCTCGTCTCGCAGTACACCGTACTGCTCATCACCATCGACCGCTTCTGCTCGGTCAAGATCGCGGCTCGCTACCGCTCCTGGCGGACCAAGAACCGCGTCATCTGGATGGTGACGGTCACGTGGATCATCCCGGCGCTGCTGTTCTTCATCTCCATCTTCGGCTGGGAGCACTTCGTCGGCTACCGCGACCTGCTACCCGGCCAGTGCGCCGTGCAGTTCCTCAAGGACCCCGTCTTCAACACGGCGCTCATCATCGGCTACTACTGGACCACGCTAGTGGTGCTCTTCATCCTGTACGGCGGCATCTACAAGACGGCGTACGAGATGCAGAAGAAGTCGGAGGCAAAGCAGCGCAAGATGCAGTCCATGGTGGCGCTGTCGGCGGGAGCCATGTCCGGGATGGCGGGTCGCGCGGCCGGCATCGGGCTGTCCAAGGGGCAGGCCGGTGCCATAGACAAGCCCAAAGGCGCGCTTGCCGCGGCCACGCCCAGCCTGGACTGCGCCACCACGTCCAAAACCTCGCCCGTCACCACCACGACGGCCCAGGGCACGGGTACCGACGGGCGCGGCCGGGAGCTGAGCAGCAACGCGGCGGGGGGCAGCGGCGAGAACGAAAAGAGCGAGAGGTCGTCCAGCCCGGCATTCGAGAGCGACGAGGATAGCACTACCGTGGCGCAGCAACCGCCTCCTCGCAAGCAGCAGCAGCAGCAACATCAACGGCAGCCGCAGCATCCGGCACAGCAGGCACAGCAGACGCAGCAGACGCAGCAGACGCAGCCGCCGCAGCAGCCGCAGCTCCATCAGCCGTCGCAGCGCGAGCTGGCCAAGAGGAAGGCCTCCACTGCCGGCATGGTGGCGCACCCCAACACGCTGCAGGTGCTGAGCTGCAGCATTGCACGCGTCAACGGCTCCGTTCCCCTGCGCTCGCCGGAGCCGTCCCCGACCCCGGCGCGTCTGCCCACGCCCGCCACCACGCCCAACAACCCGCAGCAGGGCGGGTCCCTTCTGGACACGGAGAACCACTGCGAAGCGTCCGCCTCCACCGAGACCCTGACGCCGTTCCCAGCCGCGGTGGTGCCGCCCCCTGCCAAGGAAGCCGCCTGGGACGCGGGCAGCGACCGCTCCATCTCGGAGAGCGCCATGTACAAGGTCCCACTGCGGCTCACGCAGTCCCAGACCATCATACCCCCGCCGTCCGGCTTCCAGAACAGCCCCGCTGGCTCGGGGTCATCGCCGTCCTCGAGCGGTGGGGGTCGCCCGCGGAGCCTCCACATCCCCACGCAGCACGGGCTGTACGACGTGCTCAAGGGGCTGGACACAGCCGACCTCCGCTACATGGACGAGAGCTCCATCATCGTGCCCTCCCCGACGATCGAGAGCCCGCCGTCATTCGCTGTGTCGCTCCCCAAGGACTCGACGGCGCCGCCTTCGCCGGGCTCCATCTCCATCTCCAGCGACCGCACGACCACAGCCTCGCCGCAGCAGCTGCAGGCGCAGCAGCAACAGCTGCAGATGCAGCAGGCTGCCAACACATCACTGCTGCAAGCGGCCCTGATCCGGGCGGCCGCTCAGCAGCAGCAGAGCGCCGTCCAAGTCAACCTCGTCCCTGCGGCGCGGCCCCCGCAGCAGCACGTCGCTCAGGCCAAGCAGCAGGCGGCCTTGGCGACGGCTCCTGCAGCGGTGCCTCCTGCAGCAGCGCCCGAGCCTCGCCTCCAGCCTGTGGCGGGACCGACAGCCCACGCGGCGCCCCAGTACGGCCACCCCGTCACCAAGGTGGACACGGAGGTGAGCCTAAAGGACGCGCGCCGCCCGGTGACGCAGGTCACGACGGTGACTGAGCGCGAGCCGCTCATGACGGCCACCCCGGCCACTAACTACTCGACCACGTCCAATTCGGTGGGCCCGGCGTCGGGCCCGGCCTCGCAGCACGGCTCCCAGGTGGGGACGTCCTCGTCGCACGAGCACGAGTCCGGGTCGGCGCTGGAGACGAGCAACACGCGGGGCTCGCGTCGCGACCTGGTCAAGAACATTGGCAAGCGGCTCAAGGGCAAGCGCAAACGCAAGGACGGCGCCGCGCGCCAGAAGTCCAAGTCGGAGAACCGCGCGCGGAAGGCTTTCCGCACCATCTCTTTCATTCTCGGGGCCTTCGTGGCCTGCTGGACGCCGTATCACGTGCTCGCCCTAGTCGAGGGCTTCTGCGCCAACCCACCCTGCACCAACGAGCACCTGTACATGTTCTCGTACTTCCTCTGCTACGCCAACAGCCCGATGAACCCTTTCTGCTACGCGCTGGCCAACCAGCAGTTCAAAAAGACCTTCACCCGCCTGCTCAAGGGAGACTTCCACGTCACGTAGATGTTGAGGCCTAACAACAGCGCGCATCCCGCTCAGTGCGTTAGACTAAGTAGGATATTGATTATTACCATCTTGTTTAAAGAAATTGTGAAAAATGAACAGTATTTTTGTTAAGCGTTCTCAAATGTGTACATATGTTATATATTATTAGGTTTAAATGCTTTCAATTTGGGGTAGTTAGCGATGTCTTGAGGAGGGCGCCTCTGGTGCGCCGGCGATGCATGAATTGATTACCGTAGTTTTGTTGCTAATTGTATTATGGTTGATCCATAGTGTAATATAGTGTATGATATTTTAAATTATAAAGACATGTCAGGGAAATCTATGACTTGGTAGACAATAATACTACTTAAAACTAATATTAAACATAATTTTAACGA